CTGACCACTCTATTGGTCCCAGAAGACTCTCGATGTGGTCTCTTCCCTCTCTTCCTCTTGAACTTAGCTTCCTTACCAGATAGAATCAGGGCCTCTGTTTCCTCAGTAGTGCTCTGCTTTCCTGGTAACTTCGTCCAATAGAGCCCAATTTCACAGACTGCTTCCAGTAGCTCCACATCTGCTCTGTGCTTGTGGCACAAGTCTTTCTGGTTTAGTACATATGCAGAGGTCTTTTCTCCTGTCAGTGTGTGTTTAGAAATCTGACATATGATTCCTGACAACACACTTTACTGCCGAGTCTCCCTCTGAATGTTTCCAAGCATTCTGCCACAGGAACCAGTGGGTTGACAGCACTAAATCCACCCAATCCACTACTGAAGGTGTGAGTCCATAAATTCTTTCTTAAATCTCTCTTGCTCTCTGCCTCTGAGGCTCCCATTGCTGCAACATTTTGTGGCAAGTTCCAAAGATGGACAAAAAAGTCCCTATCTAGTTCCTGGCCTGCATTCCACAGTAACATACCTGGTTTCTGGTATCTTCTCACCTCAGATGAGTTTCCCCACTTGCTAATAGCCAGGATCATACCCAACCTGATACTGCAGGCTCCAGGGGTTCCCATTTTATAGATAAAATAGAATATGGTCTTAATCCAAACATGATTGCCACAGATCCTTCACTTTCCCATGAAAGTTGCCAATTTCTCTTTTTAAATTATATGTCCACTCTGGACCTTGAGTGTAAAATGGAGAGAGAGTTCAGAAAAGATAATATCTCCCCCAAATTAATGATTACAAAAATGGGGAGATTAAAAGCAAAATGATGCTGTAGCAATAAAAAAAAGTGTGTGTGTGGAGGGGGTGTCACACTTATATCATAATCTTTAAAAACTCATCAACAAGAGAGATAAACAGATTCCCACTATCTTCTTGACTGAGCAGGGTTCTAGATGCTTCTAATTCATCCCAGTTCCCACCCCCAGGAGCAGTATAAGAGGAAGGTAGGTGAGTGGGGGGGAAATCCCACAAAAATCACCTTAATACTCCCAACAAAAGAGAGACAAGCCAAAAAGATACACAGGAGCCCAGGGCTAAGTTTTCCTCAAGAACAGAAGATGCTGCTTTCCACTCACCATCTTGGTTGCTCTTTGCTAGAGAAGAAGGCAGAGCAGTGGAAATCAACCAGTGGTGATTATAGCAATAAATGGAGATTGGGGAAAATAGAAGACAAAATGAAAATAAGATAAGATTTTATGAGGAAAGAGGGGTCAAAGGAAAAATCAGAGTGGTCAGTTTCATCTCTTGTTTGTTTTCCTTTATTGATCTGTTGTCTTCAGCATCAAATATGATGTTAACTGGTGCTTTGACACACAGGTATTTAAAATCATACAAACCTTTCTACTATAGATTTTTTAAATCAGAAACGGGTGCTGAAAGTAGTAAAAATTTTTGGCATCTATAGAGATATTTTTTCCTTTTTAATAAATATGTGAACTATATTCATAGATTTATTAATACTGAATCATTTTTACATTCCTGAGATGAACTCCACTTAGCTGGTCTCTATTATTCTTTAAAAGTACTGTTAAACTATATTTGCAAATAGTTTATTCAAGATTTTGGCTTCCATATTAAAAACCTAAATTGGTCTGTAATTCTTTCCCAATCTCTGGCACCAAGGCAGGTTGGTTTGACAGCCACCATGATGAGAAACTTCTGACTAGATTCTAGTTTATTTCCAGCTGTACCCACTGTCAGAGATAACAGGAAGAACTCCAAAACGTGAGCAAGACATCAGCTGCATTCCCTTGTTTCTGCAACTGTTCATGCTGTCTTTATTTGCCCTGAATGTATACATAGATACTACTACCACAGAGTTACACACACACACACACACACACGTTTTCCTTTTGGAGGATCTAGGGCAGAGCAACTGGAAATGGATTCCTCTCACTGCCCAGGAAACCATCCTGGTAACCTAGAGGGGTTTCCAGGTGCACAAAGACCTGTGCTGCCCATTCTACACCCTTTTCAGGACATCAGAAGTACATAAACTATCCACATATTGTTAATCAGGCCACCTATAGATAAGTCTTGAAACGCACACAATGACCTGTCAGTATTGTAACTGGAACGTGGTGATTCTCTTTGTATCCACCGATAAGACACAAAGCCCAAAGACACACAGTGTCTTTGTTGGTGAACCTCTCTAGGCATAGAGGAGTCAGTGCCAGTTCTGAGTCTCAAATTTACATGGTATTCCTACTATTAACGCACACAAAATTTCTAGTGGAGAATGGAATGTACAGAATAGGATGAAGAGCTTGATGTGTACAATCAATTCCAGTCTTGATCATGAAACCCAAGACAACCATATACTACATTATATTCTTTCCTGTTATTCTAAAGTATCAAGATCAAAAATAAGAATTAAGCGCCAGAATTCACAATTATTCAAATAGGGTCAAGACACCTCTATAAAAATATATAATTTCATCAGTGAAAATTTTGTCTTAAGTCCCAATATCTATTCCATTTCTTCTCCCTTTTTTTTTAACCTTACAATGTGTTGAGGTACTTCAGAGTCCATCGAGGGCTGAGGAGGTGAGGGAGCAAAGGTTGATGGATTTTTAGTTTAATGTTCTATTGATAAACCTGATAAACCTGATCTGTTGATCTCAGGACCAGATCAAGAGAAATGACAAATAAGCTTTGCAAAAACAGAGGCAGTGTTTATGCCTCTGATCCCTAACAGCTTGTACAGGGTGTAAGGTCCTTTGATTTGGATAAGCCTTCAATTATAAACAAATCCTTGAGTGGCAAATATGATATCAGTAAAATCATAATACTTTAAAAATACATGTTTAATCCCTTAATAGGCTTAATAACAATGGATCTTTTAATTTCTGAGTGTAGTCTTCACCTGATTGTGTGAAATGTACTCAACCAAAGATGTAATAATTCTGATTTTTTTTCTAAGTGTGGCTCAAAGCCTAGATGCTATCTGAAGAAATACAAAAAAACAAAAACTTCAGGAATAGAATTCTTTTCTAGTTATTTTGAAATTTCCAGGCACTTCAAATTACAAAAACTACTTAACCATTTCTGTATCACAGCAAACAAAATAAAACCAAATTAGTTGACTATTGGAATGTGAAACACTCTTATTGGAGTATGAAAGTGTTCCAAATCTGGATAGTGGTGATGATTGCACAAAATCATTGAATTGTATACTTAAAACAGGTGAGTTTTATGGCATGTAAATTATACCTCAAGAAAGTTACATGCAACAAATTAGTTGCAATGCTTCCTATGACCACAGAATGTCAGCAAAGTCAGCCATGAAGGATTTTTCCATAAACCTAATTTTCTAAGAAGAAGCCAGCAACTGCTAGATATAGCTGTCTTTCACTACAGAAATGCCTTTGTTCTGGCTCTCAGGTGCTTGAAGTTATCAAAGAGTTAAGCATCAGGAATAAGGAAACATTTCCTTAAGTTTTTTTAATGCTTATTTATTTTTGAGAGAGAGAGTGCAAGCAAGGGAGGGCAGAGAGAGAGGGAGACACAGAATCTGAAGCAGGTTCCAGGCTCTGAGCTGTCAGCACAGAGCCTGACGTAGGGGTCAAACTCACAAACTACAAGATTATGACCTGAGCAAAGTCAGACACTTAACCAACTGAGTTACCCATGCGCCCCAGGAAACATTTTCAAATGTTGTCTTATACAGATCTACAATGATTGAAGCTATCAAATCATTTTATTCATGGTATATACAATAAATAAAACTAACCAAGCCACAATAGTTTTGAATAAGCTATTCGTTCTTACTGAAAATAACAAAATCATTAAAACTAGTTTTGGACTACTTATACATTGTAGTAAACATATAAACTTTGATTTTTTACAACTATTTTATCTTACATTGTACATTTTAAAGGGGAATTTTTAAAATGGTCTAATTCCCTTTAAGTTAGACAAACATTAACCAGTGAACTTTTCAAGTAACTAGGTAATATGAAGAAATCTTTTAAAAGGAGTACGGTCTCTCTCATTACTTCCATAGATCTTCTGAAAACATAAAATACATTGGATTATAGGAAGGTAAACCTAATACACATTGAAAACCACAACTATTTCTGGGGTAAGACTTCCTTTTGCTCAGTGCAGCCCTGTTATGATTAAGGGCGGAGGAAACTTGTGAGCTGGAAATTTTTCTCTCACATTTTAAGCAGATTTACAAGTAAAGTTTACCTTATTTCTAAGGTTTGTCCAAATAAAGTTTTCAAGTGTCAAGATATTAACCTAGGTTTCCCAAATCAAAATAGATGCCCTGCCTTCATCATGAGGTCAGTTTCAATCTAAGGGCTTTTTGCTTTTGAATTCTGGTTAATACTAAAAGCAACGTGAATGACAATTTCTTGGATTAATGCTTTGAATACCAGGAATCCAGAAACTGCTCACAGAGATAAGAAAAAAAAGGATCTGATGAGATGATACTTACATTAACTTTTCTCAGAAATTTGAGGGTCAACTGTTTCCTTCACAGTATCACCAAATGTCAAGGTCAAAGTAGAGAAGACAGAGGTTAAGTGACATGTTAATTGATCTGCCCAAAGTGACAAAGGTGGTTAATTGAACAGTTAGGACTAGAACCAGGTCTGGTGGGCTCTCAGCCATAGACCCTAGATTCAAACACATGTCCAGGGCACCTGGCTGGCTCAGTCAGTTGGGTATCCAACTTTGACTCAGGTCATGATCTCACAGTTTGTGGGTTAGAACCCTGCATCAGGATCTGTGCTGACAGCTTGGAGCCTGGAGCCTGTTTCGGATTCTTTGTCTCCCTCTCTCCTGCTCCTCCCCTGCTCATGCCCTGTCTCTCTCTGTCTCTCTCTCTTTCCTCTCTCTCAAAAATAAGCATTTTTTAAACAAAATCACATCCGTTATTCATTCTGCAATTTATATGATCTGTAACATTGGGGATTTTTTTTGTTGTTGTTTCTGTAGTTCTTTCTATCCAGGGCAGATTTGAAAAACACAGATAACCACTGTCTGATTCAAGAACCGTGAAGTAAGTCATGAGACGATGCTTGGGATGCTAAATGCTCTGCAAGAAATATTCAAGTAATTAGTTAAGGTGAAAATGCCTTATGACTGAAAAATTACACATGGAATCCTAATGTGCTTTGGTGAATGAAGTCTATGCCAGCAGTGGAAGGGGCCCCTAGCTGTTCTGCAATCCATGGCAACCCAGTCTTTTTCACTCTCTACCATTATGCTGGGAGCTCCAGTTACTAAGCACTGGTCTGCCAACTTCCCCTGCCCTCCTCCAAACTGCATGATCCTATAAGTATTTCTGGAGCAAGAGCAACCAGGCATTTAATGACGTAAGTCATGTCTCTTGACTTGAAAGATTAATGGGTCAGGCATGTTATGTACCCTTGATAAAAGAGATTTGTGTTCTGCCCTTCAGGGTCTAAATTCCCAACAAAATCCAGCTGGGTAGTATCAATTCAGACATCTCAATAAAAGGATAAATGAAACCATGCAAATAATACAGACCTATACTATGCCTGAAAAAATATGTATATTTTTTGCATTGTCTAAAAGCTGCAATCTTAGTGGCAGCAAATGTGTTTTTATTTTTAACACTATGAGCTAAGTGAGGAAAAGGATAGTAAGAATTCTGGCTGATCAAAGTAGCATACATGCCTGTGTATTTTAAAACATTTTTGTATGTGAAAAAAAAAATCTGTGTATTTATTTTTTAAAAAATTCATATTGAAATGGATTAATGTTACAAAATCTGGAATTTCTAACATTCTGCTATTATTCCTAATTTCATATATTGCATCAAAAGTCCCTGAATTTCAGTTGTTCAAAGGCATAGCACTACTCTGTCACTAATCTAACTTCTAAGCAATTGCCAAATATCATCAGTGCCTTAATCTGCAATCACATTTTTTTGAACTTTCAAGCTAAGATAACAAAACAAATGCTGATCTTGACATCTACTAAGCAACAAGATATACTACATTTTTTAAGCTTGAAAATATCACTGCTCTCCCACAGTGAATGAAAGATGTACTTTCCCAGTATTGTCAATAATTTCTAGTGATATGATCATGCCCCCCGATCCTTTGGAACCCCACAGTCTGATAACAGGTTAAGATAAGAATTAAAATGCTATCCATGGCCACAACTGAGTGACACCCACACATAGTATGAGTGACATTGGTCTCATTTTCCATTATGTTCTAACCACCTAAAATAACTAATTATAAGCAATTCAAACAAAATCAGCAATTTTGCTGCAAAATGATTCACTTTAAAATCACTTATTTACCCATCAGTTTTTAAGGCTTCATAGACTAAGAATGGTTAAAACAGAATAAGGAGTTACAGAAATAGCACATGCATCATGTTGGGCTGTGGCTATAACACTAAATAGTCTTGTATGCTCAGTAAATATTGGATGGGTGCAACCATCCATGACTTAGGGGAAAACTGGGTGAGGCCTGACCCCAGAGTGTGTTCTCCAAAATTTAATGTGCTTCAGAAACAGGAGTGCAATTGGTTAAAATAGAAATGCTCATACCTACTAAATAAAAATTCTAGATATATGGAATGCCAAACAATAAACATATAGGTACAGTCATGTTATCCTTTATCTAAAAAGCTGATTTTTTTTTAATTTTTTTTTCAACATTTATTTATTTTTGGGACAGAGAGAGACAGAGCATGAACGGGGGAGGGGCAGAGAGAGAGGGAGACACAGAATTGGAAACAGGCTCCAGGCTCTGAGCCATCAGCCCAGAGCCCGACGCGGGGCTCGAACTCACGGAGCGCGAGATCGTGACCTGGCTGAAGTCGGACGCTTAACCGACTGCGCCACCCAGGCGCCCCTAAAAAGCTGATTTTTAATAGCTTCCCTATTAGGCTACTTACTTCCTCAAAGTGTATCAATAGTTACTGTGTTTAAAAGGTAGGAATTTTACATTTTTTTAATGTTAATCTTTGAGAGAGAGACAGAGCATGAGTAGGGGACAGGCAGAGAGATAGAGAGAGACACAGAATCTGAAGCAGGCTTCAGGCTCCGCTGTCAGCACAGAGCCTATGCGTGGCTCAAACCCATAAACTGCGAGATCATGACCTGAGCTGAAATCAGATACCCAACTGACTGAGCCACCCAGGCACCCCTAAAACGTAAGAATTTTAAAGTTTATTCCTAAGTCACACCCTGACACTGGTCTGCCATAAGTCCGTGCTTTCCAGAGCTCATCAAACACTTGTTTGGTGTTAAGGCTTGTTGAGAGCTATTTGTTCTAGAGACCCTTACACCGTATGTCAAGTGTCCTCATAAAGTAGTAGACCACGACAGACCTGACAGGGTCCCTGCATCCTCCCACTGTTTCCCAGAGACCAGCGGGACTTTCCTACAGTGAGTGACAAGGCATTCCTTCATGAGCTTCCCTCTCATCAGACCACAGGGGCAAAAAAAAAAAAAAAAAAAAAAATCAAGGCATCATGGTAATATAGATTACTATACTAGTTAAAAGGTCTGAGTATTCTGGTCTCTCCATGGCCAAGAGCTATCAGTAGTTAAGTAAATTAACCTGAAATTTGGCTTTCTTGTCTATAAAATTAAAGGAGTAAACTATAGTTGATCCTTGAACAATGCAGGGGTTGGGGTGCTGACATCCCCTTCCCTACTGTAAAAATCCAACCCTTTTGACCCCCCCGCAAAACTTTAATAGCCTACTATTGACCAGAAGACTTAATGATAACAGTCAATTAACACATTTTATATATTGTGTACTGTATTCTTACAATTAAGCTAGAGGAAGAAAATGTTAAGAAGATCATAAAACACATTTACAGTTTTGTACCATAAAATAATCATGTACAAGTGGACCCATGGACTTCAAACCATATTGTTTAAGGGTCAACTGTACACTTTTGGGATTTCTTTCACCTTGATGATTTGACTTCAATGAGTACAACTGTTGATGTGATGTGCCTGCCAATAGCCAGTTAAACTACAGAGTCATTTTCTTCTGATCAAAATCAGGGATTTTAGAAACCAGAGAAACTAATAAATGCTTTCGCTCATTAGGAAATAAAAAGTTTGGAGATTTCTAGATCTAACCACTTGGAACCACAGAACTATCACCACAGCAGCCATCACCTGCTTGACCAGCATGTACTTCTTATGGTCCCTCTCCTACATTTGATCCAGGCTAGGTCAGAGCCCTGAGGCAGAGGCATTGTGTCCCTTGCCTGGTTCTTTCATTTTTTTATTTCTTTTTTTTTTTAATGTTAATTTTTTTTGAGAGAGAGAGAAACAGAGACAGAGTGCGAGGGGGGGGGGGGGAGATGGAGAGAGGGAGACAAAGAATTTGAAGCAGACTCCAGGCTCAGAGTTGTCAGCACAGAGCTTGCACAGGGCTTGAACTCATGAACTGCAAGATCATGGCCTGAGCCAAAGTCTGACACTCAACTGACTGAGCTATGCAGGAGCCCCTCCCCTTGCCTGGTTCTGCTCTTGATCTTGAGCTCTGACAGCTATGGAACCTTGGGCAAGTTACTTGCCCTTGTCTTCAAGCCTGTTTCTTATCTGCCAACTGGGGATGACAATAAAAGCACCAACACTTGTTGGGTTATGAGAATTAACTGTGATAAGCCCTATATGGCACATTGTTTGGTGCCTGGCACAGAGTAAGCATCTGTAAATGGCAGCAATTATTTTTGATGACAGCCGCACGGTTATAGCATCCATAGAACTCAGCACATGACTGAAGAAAGTCCAAAAAAAAAAAAAAAAAAAAAAAGTCCATGAAGTCACATGGTTGTCACAGCCCCTGGTCCTCTCTCCTTCTGGACTTACTCTTACTAATGCAACCTCACTTGTTGACTTGAAGGAATGAATGAACATGCTGACTCTCTATATCTCTTTCCAGAAACTCCAGATCACACAGCTCTGACGATGGGATAATAATTTAAGGAAGCAGGTGGCATGATCGATGAATTAAAGGTATCTCTTTCACAAAAAAGAAACTGGTAATAGTGGTTGCTCTCCCAGGAGGTGGCATCAAATCAGGGACAGGAGACTGACTTTTCACCATATGCCATTGTAGCTCTTGAAATTTGAACCTCAAATATGTGTTACCTACATTAAAAAATGTTCTTTAACGTGCTAATTTTTGAAAAGTAAAAAGTCAATTTGTAACTTAGAAGAGCATATGCCTTCCCCTCATGAGAGTTGGGAAGCTGAAAGTCCAGCTTCACGTGCCCTTCAGAGTATCTGAGTGCCCGTGGTTGCTACCCTGCCCATGTACCCCCACAACTGGGAGGTGATGGACAAACCCCATGGGAGGTGGGACAAAGAGAAGGAAAATCTTTCTGGTTCAGAATTATTTCAGGTTTTGACTGGTTTCTGCACAGAGGAATCAAAGGAATACCTACTGTAGATTTAGAGCAGGGCTTTATGTCCAGTTCTATTCTACTGCCCAGGGAAGGCAAAGACCTGAATTAAAAGAAAGAACAGAGAGTGAATGAAGTGTGTGTGTGTGTGTGTGTGTGTGTGTGTGCGTGCGCGCGCGCGTGTGTGTGTGTGTGTGTGTACTCCAAATAACCCATGCTGGCTCAGCTTTTCGATGCTCTTTTCCCAAATATTTTTCTGGTAAAGAAATCTGAAAAAAAGCTCGGAATCCTTTTGAAAATTAAGACTGACTTGGAAATAACAAGGGCCGCACTTTATTTGAGCAAGTACAATCTAGTACAACAAAGTTATATAACAAGGTTAGCTTTCTCCTTTTACTCATCATTTTCCATCCCTGATGGAATTAATTATGTGTGGGTGTGTAAAGAAGATGGCCCTGAAAAGAAATATCTTAAATCTCATTGTAAGCTATCACACAGCACCCCATGGCAAAATGGATCTTTGAAGAACAAACATGTTAAAAATGCTTTGCACTAAAATACATTTGGAATTCTAAAATGCATAAATATGAAACGTAGCTATGATAAATGGATTTATATAGAATATTGAAATATACCATGCTCAAGTAGTTCAGAATCAAGCCTGTGTCTTTGGGACGACCTTAGAAAAGATGAGCCACATTTAAGTTCCTGAAAACCTTGGTACATACTATAAAACAGGAAAATCAGTGCATCATGGCTAGCCGGCTGGCTTGCAATTCTGCTTAGCTCACACGTGTCCAAATTGCTTCATTCTTTTTGGTTGTAGACTAGAAAAACTGTGTTGGTTTCACAAGTCCTCATTTGTTTTCAAAGTGTACTTTCAGCACATAGGAAACAGACCGTACTGGACATTAAGAAGAATATAATAAAGAAAACCTAGAAGTGTGGTTGCTGATGCGAAAGGTCCTACTTCAAGCAAGCCTAGAGCTGAAACACATTTAAATGTGCGGCAGAAATTCATTTGCTTTATTTTCTCGCTTCAAATGATTTAACATTGAGAACTACCTAGTTAAATCTGAAAAGGAGGCATAATCCCACGATTCACGATCGGTAATTTCTACATGCATAAGTCCAGATTCTGAAAATTATAGGAGAAAAAAAAAGAGACACAAATGCAATGACAGCTGTGGATTCTACACAACACTGTTCTACAAGGTGTACAATATCCATGCAGCTTCCAATTCGCTGCTTGCTGTTTAGTGAGAGGTTGTAGTCAGTATCTGCTGAAGGCCGAATGGAGAGCTATCAAACTGTATTTTTAGTAGCACAAGTTTTTGTTTCAGGGACACACTGGAGAAGTAAGAATTAAAAGTTCCCACACACCTCTGAGAGCTTGGCCCAAGTCCCCTCTTAACAACCTCCACTTAACTACCTGGACAGTTGAAGCACTCACGCGTCTTCCTTACGTTGTCAGCTGCCCACACATCATTCTCCCAGAGCCCCAGTTTGATCCAACACTGATGGCCATATGCTTCATAGAAGCCTGAAACCCTCTCAGCCCCAAGGGTAGAATCTTCACTAGTAATCCACTCCTCTTGCCAGCGATTGGTTATGGAGGGAGGTTCTGGTGAAAATCTAGCTGGTAAAACTCGAGGGAATCTGCTGCTGAAGGTCTGGTGTGCAAGTCTTCCTTGCTCTTAAAACAGGACAGAAGAATGGGGTGTGCCACTTGTCCCCTCTCCGGTGCCTGCATCTGTAGCAGCAATATCGAGATGGGGGAACCAGCCAAAACAGGGAGCAATGATCTGGTCGTGAGGCCATTGTTAAGTCACTAAATTAAACAAGCATGGGATTTCCTACCTCTGCACTTCTTGTTTGGGGAGGGCATAATATCTCCTCCTAGTTTAAACCACTGGGGAATGAGGAGACACCTGCTTTTTGTGGCCCCAAGTAATCAGATGCAATCTCCTTCCTCTGAAATAACAAGCTATTTTATAGAGCAGAGACCACACAGGAACACATGCACAGGCTTTCCCTCTCTTGGAAACTAAACTCTTGTGCGAGGAGTAACGTTCTAAATTCAAGCTCCTTGGAGTATAGCGCATGCGCTGCATGCCCCGTCCCGAATACCCTCCTCCCCCACACTATCACGTACTTCAGACCCAGTTCAAAATCTGCCTCCTTCACGATAGTTTCTTATTTAATCCTTGCCTACATCTGCCTGTAATTCTAACATATGGCATTCACTGCCTCTAACTTTTTTACATCTTGTCTGCTGATCCTTGTGTCTCCCTCTCAGCTCCACACTGAGCACACATTTGATTTACAGCGACTGACTGAATATGAAGCCCCATTTGCCTTCACCTGAAACTTGGGATTTTCCTTTCCTCTTTTCTTCCTTGTCTTCTTTCCTCATCTTACTTCTCTGTAGAAGAAAAGACAAAAATTGAGATAAAAGAGATTCGGAGCTCAGATTCTGAAGGTAGGTAAGTCTTTCTAAAGAAAGGCCCAAATGGCAGGCCCTACCTTCTGGGAGTTACAGATAAGGGAAAGAATTATGGCTGGTGGGGGCTGGGGGTACAGCAGTTAGACACGATACAAATGACCTCCTGTTTCTGTACCTCCCTGACATACTGACCAGGTTCCACTATTGAAAGTAGGGGTTGGGGGTGGGGGGGACATCCTGAACAAATCAGAAGTTATGAGAGAACATAGGGCAGAGTCTAGCACATGGTAGGCATTCAACAAATGTCTCAGGAGTGAATGAGAGATGACAGAGCATCTTACCAGTAGGGCTTCGGGCTTATACCTTGAAGGTTTTTATTATAAAAACAGAACAAAATGTAAATACCAGTAATAACACTGGTAGTGAACTTCATCTGAATGTGCTGACAAAAAAATCTTTGATCTGGTGTAGATTTCAAGATGTTTTGAAAGGGAAAATAAAATCTTGGGTTGTTTTGGTTTTTACTTTAAAACTCCTATGGCTGTTAGCTCAAACTCACAACCAGAGGCCGTCAACAGGAGATTTCCAGAATATCTGCAGAAAGGCCTACTCCATCACACAACCTGAATCTCTAGCAGCCACTCTTCTGTGTAACAGCTCTGGGGCCATCCTACTGATGAGATGGCGCAAAGGGCATCTGCAAAGAGCATGACCCAGTGTAGAAATAGGCTTCCACACACGTGAAGCTATGCAGATACATTTTTAACGTCAACTTTTAACACGTTCCAAATATTAAAAATTTGTCATAACTTTCATTAGGCTATTCATTCAAACCGACACTAAGAACTTTTCTGCAAGATCTTTTATATTACACAATAGAGTAAAAACTGTAGTAAAGGTTCAGATAGTTAAATGAGCACCACACACTACAAAGTGTAACCAACATGGTTCTATTAAAAACTCTCTTCAACTATGGCATTCAAGGACAGCAATACAATATTTTCTTTACAAAGCAAGTAATATAAAAATCTGCAAATGCCATAAATTCATTTATAGGCTATTATTTTCATATAGGCATATCATTAGATTCTTTCAATTTTTTCTTTCAATTCTTTCCTGAGGTATTTTTTTGTTTGTTTGTGGTTTGCTTTTACTGTACTGCTGGATGCATTATCTTGATCATCCTTTCCTAAAATGATTTTTAAAGACCTGCAAAAAAATTTTATTGCATAGGACACTATTCATGACACAGAGGTTAGGAACTGCAAATATGTGGCATTGGAACAAGTCTTACAAATACTGCATTTTAAGAATTTGTTACATACATTTTTTACAGCTGTCTCTTTTTAAAAAATTGAAGTTATAGCTAATAGTTAACTACGTACAGTGAGGCATTTTAGGAATGTCAGAGGTTAGAGAATATGATGAATGATACAAAGGAAAAAAGCTGTAATTCTTGCTGGCTATATATTGTATTGCCTTCAAAAGCAACTGTACATGTTGTAATCAGTTCATAGTTAAATATTTCTACTAATCTGTTTTGGGAGAGCAAATGTCTTTCAAAGTTTCAAGTTCCTCTATGAGCTTCTTGTTCTGAACCTCCAGCACTGCAACTCGACTCTCCAGACATTTTACATATTCTTTCTTTCGACGTCGACATTCTTTAGCAGCTTCCCTGAAAAAAAGTAGAAGCAAAGAGGAAAACAAAACACTTTTTTGCATGCTATTGACAAGCAGGCTGAAGTAAGCTTGCTAAATGTGATCATGGCTGCATTCCAAATCTTGGAACAGCGTTCCCAATTCAATGTCAAACACTAAGCCAAACTGGATTCTTAAGGGTCACAAGTGTCCCTTCCACAAGTCCACATGGCAATAAGTAGAATTGCTGCATCTCCTGCCTTGATTAGAGTTCATAGTAAACAAGGTCCAAGTCAAAGACAGTTACTCTGCTTTATGGCAATAAAGATCTTTGAGGGCCTTGAGTTCCTCAATGAGAGTCTTGTTTTGGTTTTCAAGCACAGCCACACGATTTTCAAGACATTTGACATATTCTTTCTTCTTCCTGCGACACTCCCGGGCAGCTTCCCTGGAACCAACACAAGGCAAATGACTACAGGAACAACTTCCCAGCACAATTCAGACCGGCTCAAATGAACTTCTGCCCCCCAAACTCAACAGCCAATCAATCCTAGGTAAGGTTTATACAAAGCCACACAACAAATGTAACCAAGCACATGCCTTTTATAAGATTACTTTAAAACAACAGGACCGACTTGAGAGCACAATTTGCCCATCATTCGTTGTACACGGTGTTTTCTTAGGGCACACATTCCATGATCACAGTGACCAGAATGGTTTTCAGTAACCTAAAACAATAGGACCACATTCCCAAGTGGAAATTCTACAAAAACACTTACAGATCCTTTTAAGTCTCTTCGTTATTTTTGTCCACCAAAAGCCACATATTCCATCACAATGAATTAACTTTATTTGATCAAAAATACTGGAAAAAATTAATCCTCAGAAACTTGAAATGTCATTATTGGAGATTTTGATTCTTCAAGACTAAATACCAGTAAAACAAATAAGCTCAACCACGACTGCAAGAAGCAGTTTATTGGCTAGAAAACAACCTGGATACAGACAACAGGAAGCAAGTCATGTACATTTTCATGAACCAAAATGAAATGGACTCTGCTTTTGAAAATTAAGGAAGAGAAGAAGGGAGGGTACATAATACAACACTCAGTAATTCAGATAATTTAAAGCCATGAAGTGAAAGCACCACAATTAAAATTTTGGAAAGGAAGCTACTACATAACCCAAAAGTGTATTTCAAGACTGTTTTCTAATCAAGTACATTAATTACCCAATATACGGATTGTTGAAGCACTGTAGGCATGCCCAAAGGACAGACCAGCCAAAGCAACAAACACAAACAGATGAGCTAGTCATTTTCATGTATAGCCCCACCAAAAAAGAATAAATACAGCCAACATTTTTCTCTTTCTCCTGATTTTTAGGGTGGGAGGGGGTGGCAACCACATCATTTAAGTCCTCTGTAGAATGCACCCTCTGATAACAGTGTTATTTTGGAGTAGTCAACTGAAAATAACTGCCTTTGGGGTGTGCTTCATATCAAAAAAGCCTATACTGAAACAGATAACTCACGCATATATTAACAAAAGCTATGTTGGATGGCTGAACACCAGTTACTATAATGCCGACTCACAGTGCCCCAATTCTGAACCAGGAGTGATGTGCACAATAGATTTGGCCAATTCTGCTGTATTTTTAGGATGGTTTACTCTCACTAACAACTTGTTATCTGTGTTTTCTCCATGGGACCCAGTATCAGCAGAAAAAAGACCTTGAAATCCCAGTGAACTGCAGGAAAAGATCAACTCCTACTTCCTAGCCAAGAACAATGCCCTCACCCTGTGAACTCACAAAGCTCTCAGACTTCTCAACTAGTTAACAACAACAACAAAAAAAAATGTAAAAAGTTAACTGAATCTGTTTAATACAGATTTATTTAATCTAAATGATGCATCGGGAAAAATTGAGAATAAATCCAAGCACACTCATAAATTTGCCAGTTTGAGAACATAATTAAACTTTTCTATAAAGGAACTAAAATACATTTATTAATACCAAGATTTTCATGATTGGATCATTATATTAAATTCTAGATTTGGAAGGGAGATAGTCATTTTACAAAGCAAGTTACCATTAAATGAAATTTGAAATATCTAATAGCAGTGTTGTGAAATATTTATTTTTTTTCATTTTCTTTACCAAAGTATACTATTTGTCATAAATATCATAATTCATATCTCATGTGGGTGCAGGTGCATGTTACCAGTGAAAATGTTCCAAACACAAAGCTTTAAATGATCACACCGGTAGATGGTACATTCCTAAGTACTTCCCAGCTATGGAAAACACCTGTTTCTTCTATTAATAGTTAGCTCAGTTTTCAGGCCGTGAATTTATTTGGATATATCCTCAGCATGAAGAGGGAATACATAGCAAAGAGGAAATGTTGACATGGCTGTAAAGAAACACAAACTGTCACTGGACTGGGAGAAATATCTATCATATCTATCATAAATGCCAGCCAAAGAATAAAGAAAGAAATGTATAAGAGGTCTTTCAGGTTAATAAGTAAAACCTACATACGTTCCATGAAGTTAAATGTGAAGCTTACTCTGAGGTCTTTCTGAGATGACTCTGGCATAGTACAGCGGGCAGGCTCTGGAAGAAAGACTGCCTGATCGCATACTCAGGTTCTGTCCAGTGCAGGATGCTACAACTTACTACTTAACCTCTCTGAACCTGAGTTCCTCTTCTGTAAAGTAAGGATCATAACCACACCCTTTCTTATGTGAAAGTTACATGAGAGTTAAAGAAAGAAACAGTAGAAATGAAGCACTTAAAACCTACCTATGGTACTTGCTCAAGTGAGCAACCTATTAGCCATTGATCATCTACTTTTCCCTTGTCCTGCTCTGAAGTTGAGATCTGGAAAGTTAGAACAGATCCTTCTCAGAATCCCTTGGAGCTAGGGATTCTATTACCTATTTCTAACCAAGGAAATGTGGGTGAAAGATGCAGGGGGGTAGGGGGGCTGGTATACCTGGGTGGTTCAGTCAGTTAAGTGTCCAACTTTGGCTCAGGTCATTATCTCACTGTTCATGCATTTGAGCCCAAATCGGGCTCTGTGCTAACAGCTCAGAGCCTGGAGCCTTCCTCAGATTCTGTCTCCTTCTCTCTCTGCCCCTCCCCCACCCACGTAGATGCTCTCTCTCAAAAATAAATAATAAAACATAAACAAAAAAAAAAAAAAGGAAAGAAAGATGCTGGGAGGGTCTTCCAGGAGAAGTTTTCAGAAAGGTTAGACTCAGCCAGCCCCAGTTTTGGGCTCTAGCCCTTTTCCCTTCTTCCCGCCTGATGAAATGCCTAGATATGTGGCAGCCATGTTGTGATGATAAGAACAAATGTCAGTGCTGAAGATGACAGAGCAGGGAGGAGAAACCTGGATCCCTGATGACACTGCTCAGCTTTTGTTCTGGCTGTACATATCTCTGGACCAGCCATAGAAGATCAAAATAACACCTACAAGGTTAGGGCTCCATTTCCCTTGGTTATTCACAGCCCAAACACAAACGCTATCCAGTAGTTGTTATTTGCTGATTATTTTTTTAAAACCTAAATTTCATGATTTTTCTGGCCAGGGAAATTTCTTATGCATGTGTAGGTACTTGTGGGGCACATTTATAGGAACCCACTGCCTAACAGTTCATCTATTTCATTTTGATAGTTCTACTGACACAATTTTTTAATCTAAAAATAAAGGTACAAAATAATGACAAAAGGGAAAGAAGAATGCTACTTTCTAGGTCTTTTTATTTTCTTTAGGAAAATAAGACACCAATGAATAATTTTACAGTCTGCATTATGATCACATTTTATATTTCTTAACTGAACTTCACAACTTCCTGCTGTGACCACACAAGCAATTATGTTCACAGCTCCAGAGACCTTTGAAAGTACAGTTTCATAATATCCATATTCCTCCATCACATCTGAGTTAGAGACCATCCGTAAAACAACTATGGATGATACTATGTGAGCCCCATCCATTCAGCTCCTTCAGGATTTCTGAGCAAAACACTGACAATGGAAAATATGAATCCAGCATGATTTAGTTAATTTGGAACAAGCACTGGGAAAGATGTGTATATCTGAATAATCCTATTTCTGATAATCTGTACAAAACTCCACCTAGTGGTCTGTGATAATTAATTTGCTTGGGAACTGAAGCCACTTTAAGGAGTCCTATAATGTATAAAAATGTGACATTTTAAGGGCTGTTAGTAAACTGAACATAGCTGCTACTGGTTCACATTCAGTTACAAAGGACAGTTAGGAAGTCACCACTTGTTTCTGAATCATAGCGGCTCAGAGGCCACAATTTCTAGATTAACTAGGTTGCTAATAATGCCTACTAAACAAACTACCGGGGGCGCCTGGGTGGCGCAGTCGGTTAAGCATCCGACTTCAGCCAGGTCACGATCTCGCGGTCCGTGAGTTCGAGCCCCACGTCAGGCTCTGGGCTGACGGCTTGGAGCCTGGAGCCTGTTTCCGATTCTGTGTCTCCCTCTCTCTCTGCCCCTTCCCCGTTCATGCTCTGTCTCTCTCTGTCCCAAAAATAAATAAACGTTGAAAAAAAAAATTAAACAAACTACCGCCATGTGGTCCTGGTCATAGGTAAGCACATGATCTCTGAAATGTTTTGTGTTCTTACAATGAGAACATTATTAGGAATAAGGCAACAAGACTTAACTGAGAGAACTCTTAGACTATTCTGTTCATTTTGAAAATCAGATTAATTTGCACAATTTTCCATCATAAAAACTTAACCAAGAAATATACAAGTCAAATTAAAGAATTTTGGAAAACAGCATTTTTAGGACATACTCCTGTTTAAAAAATAAAAATACAGAGACATGGTACAAGAATGAGTGAGAAAAGGAGACAGCATAAACTGAAAGTACATATACTATAACATTAATAGGCATCTCTAGATGATGGGGCTATGAGTAATTTTATTTCTTTGTTGCTTTGTATTTGCACTTGACTAAAATTTATCAGAATTAGTATGTATTTCAGTATAACAGAGAACCAACAAAGTTACAAACTAGATAAAAGGAAACTACATAGGGGCACCTGGGTGGCTTAGTTGGTAAAGCACCCAACTTCAGCTCAGGTCATGATCTCGCGGTTTGTGAGTTTGAGCCCCGCGTCGGGCTCTGTGCTGACAGCTCAGAGCCTGGAGCCTGCTTCAGATTCTGTGTCTCTCTCTTGCTCTGACCCTCCCCAGCCTATGCTCTGTCTCTCTTTCTCTCTCTCTCAAGAATAAATTTTTTAAAAAGAAGGAAACTACATATAAAAGGCTTAGAAAAGATTTTTAATTAAATTTTTTTTGAGTAAACTCCACCCACAACATGGGGCTTGAACCCATAACCCCAAGATTAAGACTCTATGACTAAATCAGCCAGGTGCCCCTAAAAGGTTTAGAAATGCTTAACTCACACATTTATTTTGCCCATAAAGAAACTAAAAAATTATACTCATTACCTACTTCACAAAGTAAGTACCAAGTTAAAAAAAAATCTTTATTTGTAATAAAGTACTTCCATCATGATTAAAAACATTAATGTATCTTTCACACATTACCCTTATGACACATAAGGATGTACCATGGTTTCATGGCTAGGCACTCTCATTAGAAGACAATCTAATTACCATCACATGCAGAGCACAAACCCAAATATGCCACATAACAGTTAACTTGGGAGAAATGGCTTAGAAAAAGCAATTTCTTTAAAAGCCCCACAGCAATAAATTATGTGCCCAGTAAGTGGTTCCTGATTCCCAGTGAAACATCCTACCTGTTTTTCATTAGCCTCAGCTCTCGTTTGCGTGTTGCTTCTTCTGCTAGTTGCTGGGGACTGTGCAAACTTCCTGGTGAGGCAGCCATCACTACTCCCTGTGGCAAAGCAGTAGTAGGAGCTCGGATCTGGTAAGTTGGCATGTCACCAGTGGCTGCTGCAATGAAACGAAATATTACAAATTTATATAAACAATTTACAACTTGATATTTTATATAAAATTGACCTGGAAATAACATATTTCTTTTTACATGTCATAAGAGGTGAACTTGCTAATGTTTAAGATGATTATTCTGAGCATTAAAGAAGTCTGAGGTATCAAAGACACCTGGAACAATTTGGAACAATAACCTTCAGCATGCTCTATACATTTAAGGTAGAAAAACATCCCAGTGCATTTTAGAAAGGTGTTTATCAAAGGCTAAAGTAGAGAGTGCTTCAACTGATAGTTCATTTAGCCTAAACTCAGTGGTATGCTGACAAATGTTTAATAACCAGCTCTCTGGGGGAAAACAGTCCTGACCTGTTTATCAATGCGTATGACGGAAATACTTTCACCATGGCCAATTTCAGGCTAGCAGGGTGGCCTCCCGGAATGTAGAGATGGGAAGACATACACAGTAAGTAGCACATACAGATAAAACACATGTAAATAACCTCAAGAGCAGAGATAAAATTATGAGAAGTGATGAGTTTTGAGTATTCATTGTTTTTTAATGTAACTTATTTATTAAATATGTATTTCTTTATATATAATCTTTAATAATGGCTCTTTTTACAACCAGCTTACAAAAACCCTGAAAATTTAATAATCACTCTACATACCAGTGGGAGCTGGTTCTAGCATACCACTGCAAAAATTTTAGCTAAGCAGAATATCTCCATTCTCTGAATATTCCAGATAAGAGGTCTTCCTGTACCCTATATCAGGCCTGAAACAGTTACTGAATGTCTTTAAATACAAGTCCTACTACCAGATGAGTGAGGTACGGGAAGGAAAATACTAGCTTACTATATTTTCAGTTTAAAAACCAAAACAAAATAAAAAACAAAACAGCAAAGCTCTACTTAAATCTAGTTTCTCTGGGGAATGATAATTTTTGTCTTTTGAGGGTTTCTCGAGAAAATAATATATTTCTACGTATTCATTTAAAAGGTTTTCCAATTATAGTACAATCATAGTCAAATGACAGACTTAATATTTACTTAGTATTCAGATTGAATACTAAAAGTCCTCCAAGTTTCCTAATTTATACTCAAAATTTGCTTTTCTACTACAATAAACATAGCTTCCTAGAAAAGACAGATGGATTTAAGTGATGAAATATGTTTCTACCACTGTTTCAATTTTGAGAAGGTATTGTCCAGAGTTAATTTGACACTCCGACATATTACAAAATTCATGCTGTCTCAAAGCTAAAGGCAAGAAAAAGAGTTTTTAAAGTTATTAAATCCTACAAAAATTGGCCTGAACCAATGCCAATCAAAATATAAAACACATCACTTCCATGCTTCATTAAAATGTATTCTAACTATTGAGTAAGAACTGAACTTTTACACCAAAGGGACACAGACTTTTTCCACTTAAATGGAATATTATCACTGAAAATAGCCAACCAATTTAAAGGGTCAGTCAAAAACTAATCTGTGTGCTCCTTTTGGGTAAATGCCAGTCCCCCCCCCCCCCCAGAGCTTAAGAATTAGGTGAAAAATAAAGAAAAAAATTTAAAAAATGGCTTTGGGGGAGGATCACTTAACGGTCTTCATAAAATTAACAAAAATACCATTTATAAGGTTGCACTGCCCCTTCCTTCTATAATTTGAAAAACAATGGTGATTAATAGTAACTGTGATAAATATAATGATCACCAGCAAAGTCTTTATTAATAAACTTGGGGAAAATCCTAAATTGGTTTTTGTGACTATTTAAAATACTATATACACAGATATCTCATTCTATGCCATATTATCTTACAGCTTGGAAATATTTAAGAAGATAATTTTATAAACAGTTATAAACTGCTGACTAAAGATTTTTTATATTTTAATCTCATTGTCAGAGGAGATAGAATGGAGCATAGAATTGCATTGTTCTGTCCTCTTTTCTCTTTACCCACATCCAGGGAAGAAGGTTATGGAATAATAAAGGTTGAAACAATAGAACAGCTGGAGGCTACACAGACTTTCTAAAACTGGAACAATAGCCAGTGACGGATGAGAAGTTTACATGTCATCATGTTGACATTTGCAGGCAGCGTGGATGCAGACCTTGGTCTGGGTTGTTCTTTTGCACACACACTGGTCACAGAGAAGTGCAACAAAATTAATGGGAAGGTACAGAGGGGTTCATTATACTCTCTCTCTCCTTTGTATACATCTGCTATTTTCTGTACTATAAAGTTAGAGCAGAATGCTTATATGATCCATAAAAGTTTGTTTAAGGATATATATATTTTTTTAAAAAAGGAAAAAAGGGGGGCAGGTATAGCTCACACATGAAAAATAAAGTTCATTCATTGGTCTTAAAACCAGAAATGGTTCTAAACTTTTGCCTGTTCCCAAAAGCTGAAACCACCCTCAAAGGACCAAATTTGGTACCATGGAGGATAAAAGCAGTTCAAAACAAGTATGCTTAAAAGATTTTGAGGGGCGCCTGGGTGGCTCAGTCGGTTGAGCGTCCGGCTTCGGCTCAGGTCATGATCTCACGGTTTGTGAGTTGGAGCCCTGTGTCGGGCTCTGTGCTGACAGGTCAGAGCCTGGAGCCTGTTTCGGATTCCCTCTCTCTCTGCTCCTCCCCTGCTCACATTCTGTCTCTTTCTTTCTCTCTCTCTCTCAAAAATAAATAAACATTAAAAAAATTTTTAATAAAAGATTTTGAGCCAACAGCTAGGGAAATAAAATACCACTTCAAAATGATAACTTGGAAGGGGATGATATATTTAGATGTGTTAGTTCTGCGATGTCAGCTAATATATTGGGTTTTATTACAATGTTTGAGACATACTCTATATTTATCTCCTTCAATAAAAATCAGATTGTAGCTCAGTAGTTTATGACAGAAATATGAATTAGTATTAATTAGTAGGAATTAAGAAATGTCTGTAATATCCCAAAGAATCTATATGATGGTACACTTTTAGTGGTCACAGAGTAAATGTCAATGGATGAATTCCATATATTCAACTATGATCTTAGTAAATACATTAAAAAGATATGGGCAAAGAGAATCTCTTATTTTGAGAAAATCCAAATGTCAAAAAATGTTGTTGTTGAAACAAGTGACAAAAAAAAAGTTTTTCTCTTAGTTAACTTCAGTTTCCAGAAGTATGAATTCAGTGGTAATTTAGTAGACTGGATACCTAGAATCACAGTTCAAAGAACCATCTTACATTCTTTGATGACACAGTCTTATCTCTGTACTCCTATAGAGGCCAATTTCTGTTCCATCTAACTACTAAAAGTGTCCACATTATTTTTTGTTCTAGTACTTCACTGTATACATTATTTCTGAAAATAAATGAGTCATCAGTGGGGGCTTTACAGTTATGACTGAAGATAATAAGAAAAAGATATTTACATACTAATTTATTCTAAGGCAATAAAAATTTTAAATACAAGTCAAGGATATCTTTTTTTTACTTTGGTACTCTCTATAATCTAGCATGCTACTTGGCATATAATGGATGCTTGATGGGTTTACACATACACTACAAAGTAAATTTTGAACTTCCCAGGGTTTTGAACAAGCCCACTGTCATTTGAATGTTTAAAATAAGCAGTCTTATTATTTTAAGACTATTATTAGCTGTTATTATAGCTAAGTCTTTAAGTCTTTAACACTGAGACATGGGAAGCCCTTACAAGATGCTCTGTATTTATTCAAAGTGGCATTATTTCCTACTCTTCCCTTAGATACTAGTCATCTGGCACCTGAGAAGCAGATGAGTTCTAACTATAGTATATGTCCAACTATCCTGACATGAATTTTTTAGTGTGTTTTAGGTTTAGTATCAATATTTCATGGGAAAAGAAGATTCCTAGAACTCTCAATTTTGGTCATTAACTTCATACCTCTCTTTGCAAGCTATAAACACGGTATAGGAGAAAAAGCATGGGATTTGGAGTCTGGATTCTGTTCCAGCTCTGCCACTTACCAGCCATGTGACTTGGGGCAAGTTCAGTTTCCTCATCTGTAAAATGGGGATACATTATCTCATTTAATACTCACAATAACCCCTGTAATGTATGTCAAAGTGTCTAGCACAGTGCCTGGCACATGGTAGGCATTCAGCAAATGTTAGTTCCCTTCCTCTTCCCTTCCTTAAGTTCTGAAAGACAATGTTCCAAATTATGCTTATGCTGTATATTAGTTAAAAGGCACATAACATCCATAAATATATTTTCCCCTGGAGTTTCCCTTCTAACAAACCTGGGTAATAGAATGATTGAAATGTATGGCTCTTATTCCTTATTTTGTCCAGAAATATGCCTATTAAAAATTGTTATGCTGTATTATATTCCTTTAGAAAATAAGTTATTAAAAGATAATATAAAATGTCCTTTTCAATGTTTATAATCATTTAGAATGGAACCTCAAAGGTGGAGAAACACAAATAACCAAATGGTGCAAGCTCATCAGACTGGTAATAAGACAATGAAAAGCCTCACAAGTCAAAGAGGTGTTTGTTTCTTCCTAACAAAGACAGTAATAAGAAATTCAGCCAAATGCCTATCCTGATAGCTTTCAAAATGGAACAACTTTTCTGCATCCCAAATGGTGGTGATCTTGCTTGTGTATATATCTTATCGAGATCTCTGCAGTACTGAGCACATTAACTGGATAACAACATTCTTATAAATGGAGCTTCCTACCTTCATGTGTCACTTTGCTAGGTGTCCCTAATCCCAACTATACCTAAGGAACAAGCAATAGAGGTAAGTTTGAAGTCATACTTATAAAGCGGGGGACTTTTTCTGTAGCTCCAAGAAGCTACTGATGTCTTCACTTTTCTCATTTGGTTCGCTCCTCTCCTACCACCACACCAGTGTTCCCAATGTGCAAATCAGTTGTGTCCTTGCCTGGTGTCTCACACTGTCAGAGACTGTCCCTTCTCCACTGCTCTACTTTTCCCAGGAAAATTAAACCCTATATAAACATGACTGTTTAAACATTGAACATTTTCAAATTTGTTACAATAACTATGACACATAGACCACAAAGAATTAAGCCATTAAATATTTTTACTTTAAGGTACATAGAGGGAACTTCCTGAATTGTTTAAGTGAAAATCTTGAGTCAAAAAAAGTTTACGTAGATAAGAAATTATAAATATTGAAATTAAAGGTTCTATATCATAGCAAATACACACTCTATTGTCCTATGAGAGTAATAATAAATACTCTAGAAAAAATCCACTTTGACTACTTAAAATGATGCTAACCTAATTTTGTATGTTTTATAACTAGCATGTAGTATTCTGTGGTAGGTAACTCATCTAACATTAACATTAACATTAACATCTAACATTAGGATTAATTTCTCAGGTGACCTTTGTGGAGCAATGTTCTGTGTGAATGTTCTGTGGAAACAGAACGAGACAAGGTCTGTTCTGGAAGTCTGAAGATCCAAACTGGTTCACCACTTGTTAGCTTTGTAAACTTGGAAGAGTTATTTACCACACTGATCCATGTTGTTATACAAAAAATGAATATAATAGTATCTGCTCGGAGTGCATCAGTAAGAATACATGGAAAATGCTTCTCCTTTTGGGTATTTAAATATAGTTTCTTCAGTGAGGCCTACCTTAACCTATATTACCTGCTTCCTATAGGTCTCTCATGATCTGATAGTTTCTTTGATAGCACTGACCACATTTGTATTTGTATGTATACTGCAACATTGTTATTTTTTTATTTTAATGCTTACATAAATGCAAAGTATAATTATTTTATTAGGTGATATAGTCATATAGGCAAATAAAACCAGGCAGAGTTTTACAATCATCCCAAATTATATTTCACTGAAATTTTTTCAAAAATAGTGGGAAAATAGCACAATAGAAATGTCAGTAAACCCTCCATACGCATTTGGAGTTTAATTAAAACTTAAGGTAGATAAATGACTTGGGTTTTTTTTTCCCACTTACAACATAATTATAACTTGCTTTGCTACCAACTTTAAGCTGTTACACCTAATCCAAACCATTCTTTATGTGAAAATTCCCAAACAAAAACCTTTTCGAGTACCCTCCTTTCACAAGGTGAAATGTATTCTTATTCTCATGCAGCAAATATTAACTAAGATATTATTTTCCAAATATGAATAAGTTGGAACGTTTGTTTCTAACAGTTCAGAAATCCAGGCTGAATACAACATATTAGAATTTTTTAGACTCAGAGACTAAAACATATGGAATTAGGCTCTTAACATAATCAGCTTATGAATAAAGCCAAAAACTATTTCTAACAAAAAATTAGACTATACCCAAAAGAATCAATAATACAATTCTATAAACCTTAGATATTCGCTTTCTGCCTTTGATTCTATGATCCTGTAAGTAAATACTCCTAGGGGCTCCTGGGTGACTCAGTCGGTTAAGTGTCCAACTTCAGCTCAGGTCAGGATCCATGAGTTGGGAGTTCATGGGTTCGAGCCCCGCATCGGGCTCTGTGCTGACAGCTCAGAGCCTGGAGCCTGCTTCAGATTCTGTGTCTCCCTCTCTCTCTGCTCCTCCTCTGCTTGTGCTCTCTCTTTCTCTCTCAATTTTAAACATTAAAAACTCTTCCCAGACCAGTCATTGTTAGGAACCTGATTTTGGTCTACATCAGTTTTTCAAACTACAAGTTGTAGCCCATTAGTAAGCTATAAAATCAATTTCATGGGCCAAGAATAGCAATCAAAAAAAAAAAAAAATAGAAAAGTACAAGTACATCATCTTTACTATATGTAAAGATAAGCATTATTTTTAAAATTTGTTTTATGTACACACACACACACACACACACACACACACACACACACACAGGTCTACTGCATCATGATATAAAATGTGGGCCATGGTAAAAAAAGTGCATAAGCCAAGTATCTTAGATCAGTTCATTTGGTTCACCAATCCACACAAGTAGCCCAAAATGATATAATCCAAAGGTGGGTCCTAAAGCTGCTCTACTATTCTTTCAAAAAAGTCTCTTAAACCCTATGCTCTTTGGGCTCTTCAAAAAAAAAAAAAAAAAAAAAAAAGTTTCTCATTTTTAAACAGCATTTCAAAATAGAATTGGTTCTGTGAAAACTAATCAGATTCTAAAAATAATGATTTCCAAAACTAAATGAGGTCTTGTGAAAAAAGTTTGACATTTTTTAGTTTTAACATTTGGAAATTTTTAATTTGGAAAAACTAACTCATGTTTAACCATTATGAAAAAAACTGTGAAAAGAAGTCCATTCAAGGATGGTGTATGCTCATTTTGTCACATAAATGTATAAAAATGTTCACTTATTTACAAACAATGGTTAAAAATCTATGCAAATTTTTACCTTTAACTTTCATCTTTAAATATATTCTGTGTATTTTCAAATCTTTTATATTTTACTTTTCTCTCATGGTTAGACATGAGAATTGGAATTAAAAGTTAGTAAGAAAGATATAAACCAATTAAAATTTTTAGCAAATAAACATATGCGCAAAATGCCTTTTGCTTCTAGCATATGACATGCAGTATTTGAGATTAAGTCCATCTATATCTTACAATAAATTTGTTATTTGAGAACTTCTGTAATCTATAGCTTCTCTAAAATTTGATAAAAAATCCTGAGAAAAATAATAGTGCCTCAAGATAATTTTCAAAACGCTTTAATACCGGTTTTAGCTGCTCAAAACAATGGAATGTTCTCATCTAGGAAGAGAACCGAGACCCACTAATTCTGAAAAACTAAACCGTGGTGAAGCTGTTCATAATCATCCATTCCACAGGAATTCAAGTGCAAATTCAGAACAGAGTTAGAAATGAGACATCCCTGAATAAACAACAATGCAACCACATACAGGATATTAGTAACTAAGTCAGAATCATTACCTGTACTTAAGAAAAGCGAACCACGGAAGGATTTCGGATCACAACTTTAAAGCACTGTGATGGGGTGGGAAACAATTTAAGCCCAGCACTTCCCTGACTGAGCACTAGAGGGCACTCTGACTAGCAAGTGCCGGGAGCGACCAAAGGGTACGGAAATCCTCGAGCTCCTGAGCCCACCTCTCCCCGGGCACGTGCCGGGCGGCCTGAGCAGGAGGCTCAGCCTTCCCACGTCCGTCCACAGCGGGACAGACGGCTGCGGAGTTCTGCTCAGCCAAGCATTACAGGTTTCACAAAGCGTTCCCCCTCGTTAAGCAGATACTTACCTCAAGATCAAGAGAAATGTTAAAGTAAGGCTTACGAGAAAAGCTATTCAGTCTAAGAGAGATCTTGGAGATAGTGGCAGCGGCGAGCTAGTTAACAGCTCTAAATCTGTCAGCAGCACTTGACAAAGCAGAAAGGAACTGACTAAATCACAGCATGACTCGGGGCTGACGTCAATGTGCAGCTCGCTTGGAGTTTAACTTTTCCACTTCCCTGCGGAACACGATTCCAGGAAATGTAGTGACGTCAGCCCTTTGAACTCGATTAGCTGAGGTACAGACCATTTTAAATACAGGAGGAAAGAAACAAGTAGGCACACAAACACCCCTAACACGATGGGTTTTCCTATTCTGTTTTGGAGCAACGTTTGTACTCAACAATGAAATCGGAAGCTTAATTTTTTACAAGTTGAACACTACGTATGTTTAACTTGTAGCTGCATTGGATTTGCAACAGGTTGCAGATGAAGTAACAGTTTATTTTAGTAAAGCAGTATGTGGAAGACGAGAGACAGGATTACTGCCTTGGTCAAACAAACGATATGCTGAGCAAAGAAGCACTTACGCTAAGATGCTTTAACAGAGTGTGTTGAATACATACAGATACATATTAAAGGAAACTTCTTACCCCTCAGCTAATAGAAAATTAGCACTTTTTGAAACACTGAGGGTCCTCATTTTTCTAAACTTCAAAAAAAATCAGAATTAATTTAAATCTCTCTTTAAAATCCTTACCTGTTTCATCTCCAGTTACAGCCATGATGGGCTTCTGCATACAGAACTGTCTTGCCTCCCCT